ACATAATTATTTGATTCCCTGTCTGAACTGCTGGAGATGTAAGCCAGATAGCCATATTCACTTCAACAAACAATATAAATTCACTTTTTCTGAATGGAAAAAGGTTCCCTGGAACTGAGATTATCTTCTTCCATTCAAACCTCTCTTCGAACTCCCTCTGTTATTGCCCACCTTGGCATCAGGCCTAACATAATGTTCCATATCAAGAAATAATGAATTAATATTCAAAAGTGCATTTATTTAACGAACCTAAAACATTTGTTACAAACTCACAACACTCAGCGAAACAAATTACGTCAAGAGGAAAGATCATTGATTACTGCGACATAAGTTCCCACCTAGCCATTAGCTGTGTGAGCTTGGCTATTTCACCTTACCTCTCTGATCTTTACATTTTCATCTTTTTAAAAAGTTAGGCTTAACTAAACACGAAACAAAAGTTCTTTCCTCTGGCATTTTGTCCTTCTATTTTCAAGGCTTAATGAAAATTATATTTCTTAATTTCAGGAAAGTAATAGTGAAGTGACATTAAGAGTAGAAGCTAACATTTATTGATTGAGCAGGTATAAGGTGTCCTGTGCATTTGACATATATTAATTCATTTGATATTTAATAACTTTCCAAAATGACACGCTCTCTGATCTTCCAAACTCCTCCTGTTATTTTGAAGCCATTCCAGGCAGTCGCTAGCTGTGGTCTTTTAAGCCGGCCTCTTGAGGTTCACCAAAGCTCTGGTTTAGATCCAAAACGTTTAGGGGGACTAGAATTACAAATAGAGTCCTAATGTTTATTTGACAAGGTGATCTAATTTATCAGTCCGCTTATTTCTTCTGGGAAATCAGCTCTCTGCTTGTGTTTCCAGTTGTCATTTGTACTTATAAAGCATGAAAACTGAAAGCTGAGGCTTTAATTTTACATTAAAAGCTAAGTTATTCAAAGGGCCTCCCTAGCCTTGACTCAGAAACTGAACTGTGGTTCTGAACGTCTTGAAGCCTGGTTCATTGGCAGCGAACCCGGATTCAAGGCCAGAGTTAGCCTGGCTATGCCTTTTCCCTGTTCTTTCCTCTGTGCTACACAAAGTTAGGCTGCATCGGGGCCACTAGAAAGTACTTGATTCTCTAGGATTTCCTGCAATCTTATGAGCACTCTGCCATACTCCCATTCAGGATGACTCTTCCCTGCTCTCCTCCTGCCTAATTTCTCCCCTCAGTGCATTGGTCCCCCTAAGAAACCCCATCCTTTAGGACCTGTGTCACCCACCTTTCCCTCCCCCATTACAGACAGACTTTCCTGGATGCCCAGGTCGACAGACAGCAAACACTAGCTTCCAGTTCTGCTCTACGTGTCCAAAGCTGCCTGCAGCCATATCCTGCTCCCCTAGTCAGATTTCCCTTCACTCACAAGCTCCCTTAAAACTTATTTTCTGATCAATCTCTCAGCCTTTCATGTGGGTAATACCACGCTGCAATACAACCTTAGCTCTGTGGCTAATGCTGCCACTCTGACCTCCTCCTGAATTCTAATCTCTTCTTACTAAATAATGATCAACGTTTCCTTTGCATGCATCCCCCCGCACCACAAACTCCATTGTCTCCCCAGCTAAGCTTTGCTGTTCCACCAGGGTGTCCATTTTCTGTTAAGGACATCACGGTTAGATTCCTGTTTGTTTCGTATTCCTTTGTTTGATCAGTTGCCAAATTTATAGATTCTACCCTAAAAGCTTTCTCCTTTTTAATCTATTTCCTCTCAAGACGCCTGGCAGTGCCCTAGCAGATATTCTACTTTTGAGAGAGAAGGCTCACAAATGGCTCCAAAAACTCAATTAAGCTACAGTTAAAACTGTGAGAACAAGAAATGCAGCATTTCTGTAGATTCCAATTTAGGACTAAATATTATTTCCACTATTATTTTTTAAATAAGTTCAATTAAACCTGATAGGAATCTAAATTACGGCTTTGCAACCACTGTAAAAGAACAGAATTATGTTAGGAGGCACTATAGTAATAATTTTAATGAGAAAAAAGTTCATTATTTTATCATAATTAGTTAAATGTCAGTTCGAATCACTGAAAGCAATAGCAGTCTTATTATTTCAGTGATGTATTGAGAGAAATAATAATAAAAACCATGGGGTTGGAAGTATTGGCAAGCAAACTGATCTATGGGCATAATCCCCACTCCAACTCTCACCTCTCTCCCTGGCTCTCTCATGCTCTCAGTCTCTCTATCCAGAAAGGTCTGTTTAAATGTTTTACATATAGGGCTCTCTCTCTTCCTTTGGAAGAAAAGATCTATGAGTTAACCCTACCTACACATTAGCTTATTTTTATGGTTGCTTCTTATGCTAAAGTCATCTAAATTCATAGATATTTTTGTTTTTTTAATTTTCGTAAAAATGATTACATACATGAATCAACTCTTCTCCCTGCATGGACTGATGCAGAATTCACTTGAAATGGCCAACCATTCTGTCCATGGCTGGAGGAGACTCCAGGCTTGAATCTAGACAAGGACTTGTGATCTCTTACTAATCACACTTGCCAGGTGTGAGTACCAAGAAACTCTTGTTAAGTTCCTCAGAGAAACAGCTTTCTTAGAAATTGTCCCTCTTCTCTTCCTTCTTCTGAACGACCCTAATTCTTTATCTCTTCTGATGCTAATTCAATTCAGCATACATTTGCTGAGTGCTTACTACATGCAAGGTATTTTCTACATTATTTTTAGTTATGTCCATGGTTATTTCCCCTCTGGGAGGTCACCTCTGATGGTAGCCCCGTGTTCCATCTCCCTTACTTTCTATCCCCAGTGCCTGGCACAACGCCTGGGGTGCAGTCCGCATATGGCAGACATTTTTTACTGGGGGAAAAAATCAAGATGGTGGAGGTGGACCATCCTACTTCAAAGATTTTTTAATAAAAGTATCATTCAGAATTAACAACTATGACCAGTTGGCTATCTGAGTTTTGTACCACTTATGCCCTATTATTTTGTGACAATAGTTTCTAAAACCATGATCAGATGTGATAATGGACAATATACCATGCATGGGCTCCAAATACTAGAGCATTCCTTCTCCCCAGACAATGAAATATTTAAATTTTGAACAAGTCCCTGAAAGTTCTCACTGAATATTGAGGTCATTGCAATTCTAGTTTTTTAGTCTGCAGCTAGAGAAATCTGAGCACTCACAAATCTAGTTATTTTTAAGATTTGACATTCAAGAATTCCATTATTAGTTAAATTTTAAATTAAGGTATTTAAATTGTGGCCAAATTAAAGGCATTAAAGTAGTTAGTATGACCTTCAAAAGTATAGTGGGATAAACATACTATAGTTCGCCCAAGTTTGCTACTTTCCTGATGTCAGAATCAGGAGAGTAAAAAGCAAAGTGTACCATATGCTATTCTCTATTCCACTTCACCACCTGATCAAATAACATCGAATGAAACCCAGTTGTCTGTTTTGTACCATAAATTAAGGCAAGAAATTTGGGCTGTGAACACACACAGCTACTATTACCTGCCACAGAAACAGCCAGTACCGACTCTGATAGCATTAAGTAAATGTTATTAAATAATATATATAAAGAGAGAAAGATTCTTTAATTTAAAATTAATTTGTACATATTTTTCCATGAGTTTACATTTTTGTTTCCCAGTATTTTCCTTATTCAGAGATGTACGATGGTTTTTTTAAAAAAAAAAAAAAATCAATATTTTAGGGCCTTCTTTATCATGTCATTAACCAACCAATTTTAATGAACTAGTGATAAATTAAGCAGACAACTTTCAACTAAGTTATAAAGATTATACAGTATTGCTGTTTTAAATTCAAAAAACCCAAAGGTGTGAAATACCTTAAATGAGTGGTTATTTGAAATTAAATTAATCATATTTTAAGGAAGCATAAAAATGTAGAATCACAAATGCAATGGGTGCCCCAAATTAGTCTCAGTCAACTGAAAATTGAAAAAAATCAGCCAATTAACTGGCTCTATTACTTGTACTTTGCCAAGCAGCCATTTGGGCTGGCTCTTCCAAATCAACTGAGTCTCAGACCACAGGAGAACAGTTACATAGCTGTCACTCACAGTTTCCACGTTTCAGTAAGGTTGTCTTTTATTTTGGCCTTCATGACAGCAAAGCTTTATGGGATCCACTTCTCTCTCTATTAATAATAAAATTCACTCAATCAAGAAAATCTGCAATTTAATGTAGAGAAAAACGAAAGACCCATGAGCACTCACTACAAAGAAGCACATTCATTTTGTGAAATAAATATCGAACAATAGCCCGTTTGAATCCTGAAAATGTAACCTTAAGCTAATTGTGCTTAAAATGAATTTTGATTGCATGGCTTGAGGATTCTTGACTAGAAGAATGGTGGGCATGTCCACTGTCACTAATGTCAGTGCGCCTTATCCCTGGGATGGGATTGAGAACCACTGTTGTAGTTAATGGATATACTTGCATTTAACAATGGGGGGAATAAAAATGACCTCTTTAATATAAAAATGTACAAGGTAAGAACTTTCAAGTGAGTCAAAATAAGATTTGTCATGTTTTGCATGACTGAAATATTTGACCATGCAGACGGGCTTGTATCAAGTAGGCAATGGTCCTGTGGACACTTCAGAACCGTCTCAACTAAGTTCCGTCAAAAACAAAATAAATCAGAACAACAACACTGAGCTAGTGCCGTATTTCAAGAATGTATGTTCTTCACCAGTGCGTTTCTGCAGTTAGCACAGTGGCTAAGACTACACTAGGACAGTCCTAGGTAGAACATGCTAGGTACTTGAAAAACATTTGTTGAGTTAATAGAGTTGAAGCTGGGTGAAATTAATTAGTTGTTTCCACACTTGCAATTCTATTGTGAATTTTTAAACTGCTAACTTTTGGTTGCTCAATACTCCCTTGACTCTTATTATTGGAAACTGTGATAAAGTGATAAACAAATGTCTTTGCATTGATTGCCCTGTTTTATTTGCATATTTACAGGCAAATGGACATAGTTTTGTACATATGGAACATGAAAAAGCTGTATTACTACTGAAGAGTTTCCAGAACACAGTAGACCTAGTTATTCAACGTGAGCTTACTGTCTGAATATTTTTTATAAATAGTGAAGATAACGTCTAGCCAGACCTAATGTTCAAAAATAAATTTATACATAGAGACAAATTTTGCCAATTGCTGGACCAATGGCAAACATTAGTGCCAAATGTATAATACTATATGTTAGCACTGATCATCCTTACAAATGTTAACTATATAAATATGATGTTCATGTGGTTATGTATTAGTTTTAATTGTCAGCCTCTGGCTGTGCATTGGTGCAGTTTTTTTTGTTGTTCTTGGTTTGTTTGTTTTTTTAACCAAATAAGTTTCTTCTCAAAGTGGATTTCATATGATTTCGGAAGCACGGAAGCACACACAAGCTCTTTACAAATTCTGCTCTCCATCAGAAACACTGCCTCAATGTTGTATCTGCCTTTATATAGAAAATACAAATATGAAGAATTGTAATTCCCATTAAATATTTCTAGCACAAGGTATATGTTGGCATATACACAAAAAAAGAATATAGAGCAAAACAATATTTTCATAAACTAAACACCTCGGATTGAGAAAGAAAATATATCTTAAAATAAGACTTTACTATATTGACTCTTTTTCAATAAAAACTACATGATAATGCCTTATGAAAGTAACTGTACATATGGTATAAAGTGTTTATATTTGGTTCCATATTCATTTGCTAAATTCTCATAACACAGAGTGAAATATTTCATAAGTTAGCCATTTATCTCTGGGACCTGAATAAAAACTAGGATGAACTAATTTATTCAATGCCTTTAGCTAATTAATTACAGAATCTGCAGAGTTAAAATACAGACTAAAGGTCATTATAGGTAAATCTTTTCACCACAAATTTAAGCAGTGGATGATGGGTGGCAGGAAAAGTATTGCTTTATTTCTTTCAAGTTTATATTGATTATAAACTGTAGCCCTTGTGATTTCTTTACTTGTAAATGTGGAATTTATTTGTGTGTTGCTTTCTCTAATTTGCTACTTTTAAATACTTTGAAATGAGTTTTGGGGATTGATAAAATTTATCATTAAGAAAAACTGCTGTTAGAAAGTTAATGTGGGAGATTTAAAAACTTTGGTATTTAAATATGAAACTTCAAATATAATTTCTCAGAGCGATAGTCTACCTGTAGTATTCATTTTGATGCCTGTTTTTGTGGGCAGAAATAGAGAAAATACTTTTGTTTCAAAAAAGTTTCAAAGTATATAAAATCCTGAATTTTGTCTCACTCGAGAAAAAGACAAGCATAGTTCATATGGACTTAGTTATTTTTACATTAGAACTGTTTTCCTCAATAAAAAAATAAATTCATTGTATAATCCTTTAAACACATTTCTTTTATATATTTATCATTAATTTGATTAAAATATTAATTTGAAATTTTAGAATAATTTCCCAAAGTTGTTGTATGAATTATCTCTCATATTTCCATATAGCTGTTTTTAATATATATATATATTATAAATTTACTTTGCACACTAGTATCTCAAGTCCTCTATTAGGATTTTCACAGTAGTAGCCCATATTGATGTCACTGAAGCTCTGAGAATAATATTTGTAAGTTAAATGTTTTATGGGGACATTGAAAATATTGTATTTTTGTAGGGTCTATTAAAATGAATGTCACTTATTAGAAGTATAATGGTATTTTTTGGCAGTAGAATTTGTCACTTAAAGGCAAATGATACTTCACTTTATAGATGATGCACTAATTTTGATGTTGCTTTATGTCAGGGTGACATTATACCATGATTTTATAGAGTTTGACATTTAACAAATGATTAAATGATTGACCTATTTAATATGTTTCCCAGAAGTAACTTTTAAATGCATTTTAATATACTTACAGTTTCTGATGAGAAATGTTTTTCAGAGCCTAATTTTCTTTGTCAAAAACTTGCACCAAGCCACCATATCCAACTGCTGTTAGAGGATAATCATCATTAATCAAGACAGAGGCCCCCACTGGCCTCACGAGATCACTTAAAGAAAAAACAAACTCAAGGGTGTCGTTCGGTGGCAATGAAGCAGCTCAACTCATCCCGTCCGTTTTGTTGAATCTTTTATGGCAGAGGTGGGAGAAGAGCCAGAGACAGGCCTTCCCAAGTCTTTTTCCTTATGTCTGGTCTCCACACCAACCCCAGGCTTCAGGAGGTGCTTCTAAGGCACAAAGCTGAGAGGACCATGACCCTAGCAAACCCTCTGCCCCTCCTGATGTGACAGCATTGTCTTGGCCGATGCTCTGCAGGTCAGGACTGAGGGAAAGAGAAAAGGGAGCCCAGACCAACTGGAAAAGAACTCCGATTGCCAAAGCACCTCATGGTCAATGGCACTGCCGTGCTGCAGACCGAGAACAGGCAGGTAATGGTGAAAAGAGGCATTGTTTTAGGTTGACTGAATAAAAAAACCATGAAGCACTTAAGGGCAGGGGAGAGGGGGATCTAATGGATTCCACAGGTGACCAAATAATGCATTGATTTTTTTAGTATTGGCTTTTTTCGAAATAACTGGTTTTGCTGCCTGAAATGAGAATCTGGTTTACATTCATGAAAACCAAAACCAAAAATAGATACTAATATATATATATATATATAGATAGATAGATAGATAGATAGATAGATAGATAGATAGATAGATAGATATTTTAAAGGTGTGCCTTTAAAAAAGGAAAAATCAGCAACAAGAAAAGGGTGGAATTTGTGATGGCTCCAAGAGACTCTGCCTCTTGGTCTTTGGTTTTTATTGGCATCTTCCTGCTGAGGAAGCTGTCTATATCTGATGGATCGGTCCGTAGGACACAATGGAGGGGAACGAGAACGATCAGGGGTGAAAAGAATAAGCACTGAACTGTATTAGTAGACGTGCTGCAGATTTTGCAAGCCAAATAGGCGTTCCTGGGTGATTTTTACAACTCTTCATATGGCTTCTAATACATTGTTTGCAAAAGCTGTCTTACCATAACTCCAACCTTCCAAACAACACATGTCCCCTCAGCAAACATAAGAAGTTCAAAATATAAGTGTGCTTTTGAGAAGGAATCGTCAGAGTCAGTATGCGTACAAATCTTTACATCATACTATTTTACTGCTCCTTGAAACCTAAAAATTACATGTGGCCCAGTTCATTAGAACTGTGATTATGTAGCCATCAGACAATTCCGGTTGTTTCTGGGCCTGACCTGGGAGTACCACCTTGGACAGTAGTTTTAAAGAGAGGGTGACAAACTTCTTTTCATTAAAAATAAAAATTATTTTTAATCTTGAAGATGATTACACACATATCACTAATATATTTGCTTATTTAAACTAGGTCTGAAATATCTTTTACCTGAAGAACTAAAAAGAATATTCAGAGGGAGGAAAAACACTAGAGAAATTAGATTTTTTTTTTCCTGCAAAAACTTTATTGTATGGGAGAGGGCTTCAGGGTGGTTAAAAGAATGGCTAGTAGTTTCAGGGAGAGGCTCAGGCAAAAGCCAGACACCAGAGGGATGCAGAGGGACCCCTCAAAGTCATGCCTGAGGGTGAGCCTTTCGAAGAGATACTCGCCCAGCCCAGCCTGGGAGCCAGCTGCCTGTGGAGGTGAGTCAGGTGTCGCCCATCTTCATATATATATATATATATATGTATATATATACATATATATATATATATACATATATATTAATTTCAGAGAGGAAGGGAGAGGGAGAGAGAGATAGAAACATCAATAATGAGAAAGTCATCGATCTGCTGCCTCCTGTACACTCCCTACTGGGGATCAAGCCCGCAACCCAGGCATGTGCCCTGACTGGGAATCGAACCTGGGACCCTGCAGTCCGCAGGCCAATGCTCCATCCACTGAGCCAGATCATCCAGGGCTTGCCTATCTTCTTGATGAGTTTCACTTGTTCATTCAGGAAGTTGTTCTCCCAGAAGTCACAGAGATTAAGGTCTGTGCGGTGGAACCCAGGGCCTGCAACTCCACAAGGGCCTGGTTCAGGTTCCTCTCCAAGGCCAGGGCAGCTTCCAATTTTGCATCTTTAAGAGACGCTCAGCGCCCTTGTACTTCTCCGCCAACTCAAGGAAGAAGTGGCCCCTGCCCTCCAGAGCCACATCCTCAGGGTCAAAATAGAAGCCCAGAGAGAGGTAGGTGTGGGAGGCCCGCAGAGGCAGGTTGGCCAGGGGTTGACCGCAGCCTCCACCTCGGTGGAATAATTCTGACGAATTTGGGAGCACATGGTTGTTTGGCGATAAGAGTTAAGGTGTGTTGGCTGGTCCCAGAGGTGGTTCTGAAGGTCGTGACTGGATAAGACGCAGGAGAGTGGCCGGAGTTTGGAAGAAGGGGTGTCCCTGGGTCTGTTCTGTCCACTATTGAAGCAAGAGACAGATCTGGGACTACCGAGGACACTGTCAGAAATTAGATTTATATATTCAAATATTAAGTGAAAAGTATCTGAATCGACCAAAATGATTAATGACGGAAGCCAGGAAAGCATTTTATTTCTAAAGATAAGATGGGTTTAGTATCTCCACCACAATATAAAACTTTAAAAAACAGCCTTTGCCAACTCATCTTTCCATTGGCTGTTAATGCTGTCTTCAGTCAGTCTCTGCCCTCATTGGCACACAGATCAAGATGTCTATTCCAATGAATACACTCTTATCCTGAGGCGGCAGTATAGCATCACCAGATAAAAAGCCATGTTAGTACAGGACTACACTCTAAAGCAGGGGTCCTCAAACTACAGCCGACATTTATCCGGCCCACCGGGTGTTTTTACTGCCGCTGCCTGTTGCTTAGCAGCTGACTTGTCCCAGGCCTGCAGTGCGCATGCGTGGAATGTGCGCTGCACTCTCCGACTCCCCTCCTCTCTGTCTCTCGACTCCTCCTCTCAATCTCCGGTGTGATCGGACGAGTCACGAGCTTGCCTGTGCAGAGCCTGCTGCTGCCTGAGGACTGAGGTAAGAACAAGTTAGGATTTATTTTTTTTTTAAGTTAGGAGGTCTATTTTTTATTTTTTTTTATTTTGCAGTTAGTAGGGCCTTTTTTTTTTTAAGTTAGGAGAGACTTTTTTCTTTTTTTGAAGTTTTGTTTTTTTACTTCAAAATAAGATATGTGCAGTGTGCATAGGAATTTGTTCATAGTTTTTTTTAAAACTATAGTCCAGCCCTCCAACTGTCTGAGGGACTGTGAACTGGCCCCCTGTTTAAAAAGTTTGAGGACCCCTGCTCTAAAGGTCTTTCTTTGGCAATTTGATTCAGAAACCAATTTCACTGATTCCTGATATACTGACCAAACAGCAGGTTTATTGAAACACTGGGTCAGTAAACAGTTACACAGGTAATTAAATCCAGTAAGTTAAGAAGATGGGTCCTTTACTAGCATCAAGAAAAGCAGGGTTTAGGTTCTAGTAGAGTTTCAATCACAGAAATGCCAGATCTCTCTGAAGCTCAATAAAATGTTCAAACACTGGGTTGGTGATGTGTTTGATGGTTCTAGTTATCTGATCATTCAAGAATTAGAGGGAAATCTTCATATTTGAGATCACTGGCATATACTTTTCTCCTTTGCAATATAACTGCCTTTTATTAAGAAAAGCAACCTGCATTGGCCCAGAATATTTCCCCAATCTCAGCAAGACCCAAGGATACGTCATAGCAAGAAAACAGAGGACGGGCGTGGGAAAATAGACAGGCACTATTGGAAGCATGTGGGTTCATATTATAAGAGATCCTAGGTGTCAGCTCTCCTAGGCATCAATTGAGCTCCATTTGATCTAAACTATTCGGAAAATGTATTTTCCAGAACACCCCACTATACAAAAGTAAGGCAGGTGTAACCAAGTTTTCTAGTTATATGCTGAACCTTCTGGGGCATTTCTGCTTCTCGTGTGTAAAACTGACCTCTATTCATTGCTGCTGTAGATCATCCCTCCAACTCCGGTGATGTTCCAAAGGCCATTGAGTGGCTGCTTCTATCCTGACGCAGGATAAGAGGCCCCCTTAGAGTCCTACCTGTTCAGAGACCCTTGAATATCAGCTGATGGTGGTTCCAGCTGCCAGTTTGGGAAAAACTTTCTTGGGTGATCCCGGAACCTGGAATAGTACCATTAACCAAGGCAGAGCGCTTGTCATGTCTCTGACAACAGCAAACAAAGCTTGTGCACAAGGGTGAGGGTGGCAATGCTTTAATAGAACTTTGTTTCCACTTCCGGTTTTAAAATATTGATGTTTACCTTCCCAGGGACCTTCTCTTAGTCTCCTCCTACCTGATTGGTATTGGGACAGGTTCCATTCTTGCTCCACGTGGACCCTGTCTGCAACAGAATGGCTTGGGAAAACTCTCCTGGTTGAGGGTATACATTGCACAACTTCTACTTTGGGGGATTCAGAGATTTCTGATAAATGAAGGGGAAAGTCCACTCTAAGATTTGGTTAAAAAAAAGAATAAATTAAAATCGAGGAATATTGAATACCTAGGCTTTTAACTACATGAGAGCCGTTCCATGGGAATTAAGAGAGGAGAAATAATTCACTGGTTCCAACTTTAGAAACATCACTTCACCTGGTAGTTGCCCAGTTGGATTCGGCTGTCGGACAGTCAGCTCACACTGTGACAACCCAGTAGTCACTACCTGGGCTGCAAGGCAGGCACAGACGAGAAGGATCAGTTGCACCAATACTTCTCCACGTGATCCTGGCTGCAAAACACTTGTGGGGTTTTGTTTTGTTTTGTTGTTGTTGTTTTGTTGTTGTTGTTTGGCCTGATTTTGTTAATAGAAGCACCTCAAACAGTGGCAGGTTCTAAAATCCGGGCAATGTTTA